CCACTTATATTGAATCATTTCTTCTTATAGCCTATGATGGATGAGGATTAGAGTATCTTACTAATCTATGATGGACAATGATGTGAGAAACAATTTGGGAACCTTTGGAGTTAACCCAAACCACATGTAGTAAAACATAAAAGCTAACCTTAGGTTAGAGCCATGTCTACCCATTGTTAGAATATAACCCAAGTTAGGACACATGAAGGAACTTTTGTAGTTTTGTTTGTATGAATTTGAGTTTATTCAGTTTTTCATGTGTTGTTATGTGGCAAATATTAACACATTCATACATTTTTTCATCATTATTAAATTTTTATCATTCCATACATCCATTCATGCATCATGTTAACTTAGGTAATCATTTGTTTATTCATGCATCATAGGGCAAATTATGCATTCCTTCATTTATGCATTGTTATTCATGCATCATATACTACAATGTATCAAATATCTAATGCATGCATTCATTTATCTATTGAGGCATATAACAAGTTAAGATGATTCTTGGCATCTAGTAACATGACATCCTAATTGTGGTAAAAAGATCAAAGGATAGTTCAATCATTAAAAGATTCTAGGCAACCTACTCACCATCGCTATAACACTTGCACTCAAGCAAAACTTATGGAGCCAGAACAAGTTAGCCGAATTGAAAAGGTGGAGAAAGCTCAAATGGAGATTGAGGGGGAGTTAGAAAAAATCATGGACATGCTCAATAAAATGAATAAGGGAAAGGCTACAGATGAAACTCCTACTTTGCCTACATAATCCATAAAGATGACCATAAAAAATAACCTTCAAATGAGTTTCAATCTCAGCAAAAACCTAGTAATTTAGAAATTACTTTTTGATGCTTGATAAATAATATTTATTATCATTGCAGGTCTGTATTATGAATAAACATAAAGATTTTCGCGCTCTTTTAAACCAACTTCCCTATCAATGTGTTACCAATTTTTTTTCTTAAATTCTTTCGTAAAGTTCACTCTTCTTTATAAGTTCCTGAATATGCATTTAAATTATATTTACTAATTTATTATGCATTCACTTTCCTAAGAATCACTAAATGTTTAAATTGCCTAATTATTTTGCGCTTTTATAGTTTTTTATGTAATTTTTTAGATTACTTTTCTTTTACAGCTTTTTGTATTTGACTTTATTGAATTAAAAAATTATTAATTAATTTGTCTTAAATTTGATAGTTGTGATGATTTGATATATATTACTTATTTTGTCACTAATTGACTTGAAATCTAATTATCTTTGATGGTTTCTTATTTTCTAATTTAAAAATTATAAAATTTATTGTGTCTTTGATTGTTTGAAGTTTATTGTGTATCTACTCAAAAAAATTAAGTATTTGCACCTTATTGATATAATTTTTACTTTTTTTTTTCAACCATTCTAACATCAAACTTATGGAATAGCTTAAAATTTTGACCTTAATATGATGTAAGTTTCTTTACTGTTATTTTTCATTTCAATAGCTAAGAACTTTGTTAACATGAGTAAAATAAATCCACAACATTGCGCGAGTCTTGCCTCTAATTTTTTAAATAAAGGAAAGGATTTAATTAATTTCTAAGATTTTTTTTTTAAGAATATCACATTTTATAAATAAAGAAAATGATCTTAAATATTAAAATTTAAACTTTAAATTTATTTGATATTATTTATTAAGAATAGATACATGAACCAATTGAGTTTAACTTTAGAAGATTTGATAGTATGTGTTTAACACTTACCCAAAGAATATAAAAAGGGGAAACCATTATTTAGGAGGTAGTGTATAAATTCTATACATTGTTAGTAAATAAGTCAAATGATACCATTTTACCACTTTATTAATGAGGTGAATCAGGTATCAGATGATGATACTTTATTAATGAATAAATTTTTTTAAAAAATATTAATTTTTATATTTTTCAAATATTGATATTTGCTTATTAATTAGATGTTACATCTTATTTAATATCAATATATAAAATCTATACACTAACAATATATTAAATATAAATTTTATTTAAGATCATTTTTACAAACCTATCCAATTACAACCTATCCAATCATAAATTGGAACTCTAGTTTGGTGTGTTTATTAAAAAAGACAACGGGTTGGATGGAAGTGGGTTTTTACTTGCCCTAACCTTCACTTTGGTCTCGACTTCGACTTGACTTTATAAAAGAAATATTCGATCTTGACATTAAAATATTATTTTTTTCATACCTGACCTGATTGCATATGTATAAAACTATAATCGATTTGATCTAATTTGAAACTAATTTAATATTTTAATTTAATATACTATTTATAAAATATTATTTTTTAATATAAATTATATTTTAATTATGCATAAACATAGTATTTTTATTAAGTTAATATCTTAAATTAAAGAATTACATAATAATTTTATTAATATAATACATATATATATATAAATATAAAATTAAATAAATAATAAAAAATATTTTTTTATTTATATTGGGTCAAGTTTACCTAAAACCTGATCTCAATCGGACCTTGATTTTTTCTTTAAAAAAACAACCCAAATCCGATTTTAAAAAAAAAATCGATCTTATAAGATCATATTAGGTTAAAATTTGATGAATTCAGCTATATTTATTAACTCTAGTATTTATGCTTTTTTTTTTTTCCAAATTACATAATAAATTATAGTTTGGACAACATGTCTCAAAGTACGATAAGGCCCTCAATCGACACTGAAATCTCATTTCTTCACCATAAGCAAAGGTCCAATGGACCACTAGTCCTCTAACTAGTTTTTTTTTTACACAATAAATCTTTTTTATACTTATTTTACTGTTGAGTTTGTAAATTTTAAACTAAAGTTTTCTTTGTAGATTTAAAAATTACATGTTTATTTTACCCAAAATATTTATTGGTTTTTCTCAAGTTTACCCTTAAGTAAGTAATTTTTCCTAAAATGCCCCAAATTGACTCTTTAATAATCACAATCCCATGATATTTTTAACTTCAATTATTCATTTATTTAAAGTGATATATAAATTTATATAATTATATAATAAATAAGTATTAACAAAATTTTGAATAATTATATAAATATATTTATACATATAATTAATTATATAAAAATAATTATATATATAATAAATAGTTACAACATTGAAAATATATAAATACAAGCATAAAAATGATATATATTTTATAAATTTTAGTAAATTTTAATTATTTATTAATTTTACAAATATTAAATATATATTATAAATTTCTTTATATACAAATTTTAATCTAATGTTCTTAATAATTTTTTTTTATATATTTTCTTATTGTTATTATTATATTTACATTTAAACATATATCTTATCATTAATTTTAATTTTAAAGCTATAATATCTAGTTTAATTTTTACAATAATTAATTTCATCATCACCATTAATATCAATTTTAACAAAATTAATCTCATTATCTATCTAAATGATACTAAATCATTGAATGAATAATTATTAATCTTACAAAGTTAGAGAATCTTCGATATTAAGGCTTTTACTTGAAGATTAAGCATTATACTATCAAAATGTGGTGAGTAACTAACACTCATTATGTCATCAAATTTAAAAACCTAAGTGAAAATCTCTTTATAATCTTTCGTTGGAATTTGCCGATGGACTGTGCGAGTAATTTTTAAATAAAAATGTTTGTATTTAACAAAAAGAAAATTATGCGAATAAAATATGTTAATTTTTTTTTAACTTTTTTTCCATTGTTCTTGTGATATTATAAAAAATGTAAAGTTCTCATGTCTTTCTCTTTCTTATGCCTTAAATAAATAACATTAAAAACTATTCACTTAAATTATGATGTACAGTTGGTATTTTTTTCCCCCGAAAGTACTACCTTTTTCAAAGTTGTGTCAATAAAAACTTTTTGTTTGGGCACATAAATTTAGTGTACTTTGTTGGTTTGTTAATTACAAACTTACTGTTTTTGTTAAAAACAATGTAGGAACAACAAATAGGAAATAATTTCATATTTGAAAATAAGATTTAATTTCAGAACAAAGGTATAATTTGTCCTATAAAAACGAAACAATTTTTTTTTTTTTTTTGTAAATTAAATCTTAAAATTTTAAAAATGTTCAAGCGTTTTAAAGAAAATAATTATTACCCAATTACACAACAAATAATTAAAAAATATAATAAAAATTAAATTCTAGGCGTAGTTTGGTGGAATCCTCAAAATGTGCAGGCCTCTTAATCCAAGACAAAATCGAATCAACAAACAGAGTCTTAAAATACCAAAACGGTCCATGTTATGCATATAATAATATTATTAATTCGGTTAATAAATTCATGATTTGTCAAAGGAAAAAAATATTCACGGATGCATACCACGTGGCATGGACCACAAGTCATTAAAAAATTTATATACATATAAAGATAAAAATAATACATTAATATTTATAAATTATTTAAATTTATTTAAGATAAAATTTAAATTCGATTCAAATCAAATTAAAATTTGAGTAATTTAAGTTATCGAATGAATTGAATTTGATTTTTTAATATTTACTTGAATAATTTATAAATTTAATTAAATTTTTATATTTTTATATATATTTATTATTTTAATAAAAAATTAATATTTTATCTTTATATGTATATATAAAATTGAATTGATGATCAAGAAAATAATTCAAATTATAATTTAAATAATTGAGTTAATAGTTAAAAAATAATTTAAGTTCAAATTTTAATATAAATAATCAAATTTATAATTGAAAATGAAAATTAAATTTATTTTTTATTTGATAAATAGTATAATTGAGCAAATTTAAATAATTTAATTTTTATTTCGAAATATATTTGATTATAAAAATTAAAATTAAATTCAGATGGAGTGACGTTTCATGCAACGAATTTAAAATTAAATTTGAACTCAAATTTTTAGATTTAGTTTAATTACATTTCTACGAGCATAGAGAGTGTAAATATTTTTTTAATAAATTTTCTGCGAGTAAAACAATTTAAATAAATTTTGGTTAAAAAGGAGAGAAGTAAATAGATTTGTGGAGAAAATAACAATTGATTGAAAAAAGAAGAAAAAAGAAAAATTGGGGGAAAATGAGGAGCGACCATTTCAAAGCGAGGTTCTCGGGAAAAAGGAGCCGAATCTGAAATCAGTCTCTGAGAGGAGACAGACCACACGACGACGATGGCGATGCTAGAAAGCATTGTCGTATTCACCCTCCTTCTCCTTATGTTGCTTCTTATCATCATCGTCATCCTCTTCTCTTTCAAACCATGGCGCTTCTTCTCCTTCTCCTTCTTCTCATTCTCCTCTCGCTCTCGCACCATCAAGGTACCATCCCTCCCCTTTCCATTTACTTCATCAAATCTTCTTTCCTCTTTTTTTCTCGATTTCGATTTATTTTTTTATCAGATAAAGTTTTTGTTGGATTATAAGAGAAATCTGTTTCACGAGCAATGATTTAGGTTTGATTATATATTTGTCATTGCGGATCATTGCCTTTTGAGCTGAGGTGAAGCTGGAATCTTTTTTAAGGTTTTATTTGTTAATAAATATTTGATTGATTTCTGGTAGTTACGAGCCTTTTTAATTTTGATCTCGAGACTGATTTAATTCAAGAACTTTAGGTCGATTCATATATCAGTTATTTTGGGTGCAATGAATCAATGCAGCGAGTTTAATTAGTAATGTTTTGAATAAAAAGAAAAGGACTCTGATATGGTAGTTAGTTTTATTTGTGGTTCAGCTTTCAGTTTGCTGAAATCAGTGGAAATGCAGTGCAAACTTGCTTCATTCATCAAATTGGGTAGATGCAATTTATTGAATTTTGTTGGTGATTTTCCGTGGTGGCAATAGATTCTATATTGATGCTATAGGAGTAACTGATTTTCTAGTGGATCAAAAGCTGATTGGAGGCGTAACATGTAGTCTGTTTTATATTAGCCGTTTGAAATGTGAATTTAAATCATGAATATCTAATATGGCATTTATTATGTGGTCTGTTTTGAATATAGGATATGGCATGTAGTTTAGCAGATTTAATATGGTAGGAAATCTGCTCGGAGATTCATGACATTTATTCTGAGTGAGTCAACAATGATTAACCACTTAATGCATATATGCTAAGAATAGATGCCAATGAGTGCCCTATCCTATGGGCACTTTGTGAAGCAGCCATTTTTAGAAATATATATTCATCCATTATTGTAGTTGAGGGTGAATGTTTTTGATGTTCAATGCATTGAGTGAAGATATTTCGTCAAATATTAGCTCTAAAAAGTGCCCCTAGGGCTCTTGTCATCAAGAAACTTTGTTGATGTCTCTTCTTTGGTTGGTAAAATCTGGATAGACGAGCAAAGAGGATAACTTAATAATCATTTATAATTTATTTTATAACACACTTTTTCTTTCTCTCGGTAAGTGACAAATTTGGAGGTCAATGAAACCAACCAATAGACTAATTTTCCAAATATATTCAATTTTCCAAACGTGGAACAATAATTCTTATATCATATAATTATCTCATCTTCCTCTTCATTTCTTCTATCATATCTCCAAACAACTATATCAAAATTAAAATTTATTTTTAAATGTTTTTTCTTTGTTTTTCTTCCTTTCACTTTTCTCCTATCAATCCATACGCAATTTAAATGCATGTGATGGAAGCAAGAGTTGAGATCTTTCTTTAAACCCTGCATGTGTTTGTTTATCTAAATGCAAAACTTGTGATAGCATTTGTGCATATTTATTATATTCCTTCCATTTGGTCAAGGGGAATACTTGGAAACTGTTGTGGATTTGTTTCTGTTTGAAACCCTTGTGGCCCTTTTACATTTTGACACTTTACATTGATTTGTAGGTTGGTGACTTTGAGAGGCCTCTTGTATCAGATGATGTAGATCTCACTCGAGATCTAAGCAATGATTTGACAAGAAATTATGATTTAGAGGGGGCATGTCACCAAAATGAAGATCTTCTACGTTCACCTCGTACTCAGGGACTTGTTCACAAACAGCGACTCCCCTCTGCATCTCATTTGGCTCAAGGTATTAACTTTTTGCTTCCATCTTTATTGTTTTTCTCTTTATAGTTATGCTTTAGCAGTTTTTCTGCTTAAGAAAATCCAAATTCTAATGATTTACTTTGTACAGGTGATAGCATAATATCTGATCCTTCAGAGGATATTTTGGTTGGTCAGACGCTAAAGCGTCCATTGTTGTCAGAGCACCTAGTTGAAGCACCAAAACATGGTAGACATGAAAATCAAAGTGAAAACTTGCAATTTGATGGAGAAAATGATAGCCTACAATGCTTTGTTCCCAAGGCTATCAGTGATCAAAGTAATTTCTTTTTTTGTTTTTCTCACTTCTAGAAAGAGATTAATGTATTGCTCTCTTTCTATAGATTGAATGTGTAAAGCATGTAATTGTATCTTTCTGTTAGAACTGCAGGAAGTTGCCTCTCTCTTGAGGTTGTCTCTGGTCCTTCTTGTGGAATTCATTGCTCTGTACAGTCAACGAGCACTTCAAGGCTACCATTAACCCTTGGAAGAGTTTCTCCAAGTGATTTATTATTGAAGGATTCAGAGGTTTCTGGAAAGCATGCAATGATAAATTGGAATTCAAATGTAAACTTCCTACAAGATGTATGCCATTAGTTTGCATTTGGTTGCATGCTGTATATTTGGTGCCCTAATTGTTTCAAACATGTACAAAATCTTGCAGAAATTGAAATGGGAGCTGGTGGACATGGGTAGCCTCAATGGAACACTATTGAATTCTCAGCCAATTAATCATCCTGATTCTGGAAGTAGGCATTGGGGTTTCCCAATGGAACTTGCAAGTGGAGACACAATAACACTTGGCACAACCTCAAAGATATATGTAAGTCTACATATTCTTTTATTTACTTTTAATTCTGACACATTTGCTTCTGAAAATATCTAAAATTTCTAAATTAATCCTATTATGTTCATAAGTGCTGAATTTTGCATGAACAAGAGCTTTTCTTTATTCACTTCTCCAGGATATTGAAGTATTTGCATTTTGGTACAGTTTCTTATTTCAGAAATTTCATAAGATTGTCATAATCTGAGATCATGAGTTTAGAACTGATATCTTACTTGTCTTTTGTATATTTTGACTGTCAGGATCATCCTACTGATATAAAATGCCTTTTAAGAAATTTGTCATATGCCACAAGCCACATCCATTTTTTGACATTCTAAAAGTACAGAATCTTTGTGCTCTTTTATTTGCCTAATATTATTTATTTATTTATTCTCGGGGAACAGTCATCTGCTTCTCTTCAAAACTATCCTTCATGAATGCTGAGGTAAATTGAAGAACTGAACATTAATGGTGCAACATCAGTTAACAGTTGATAGACTGTTGTCCATAACATAAAATCCTAATGGTTAGGATTGTAGACATGACTGTTCCCATATAACTGCTTTAGTTTTCTGATAGACTCTGGTGTTGTTAAGTAATTTCTCTTATGTACTCATTGCAGATAATAAAATGCATATAGGATTGTAGACATAATTGTTCACATAACTGCTTTAGTTTTCTGATAGACTTTATTGTTATTAAGTAATTTCTCTTATGTACTCATTGCAGATAATAAAATGTACATTTCAGTTCGTAATGCATGCCAATATTGGATTTGCAGCTAATTTTATTGATTGCCTCTTGCCTTCTTTTACAGGTTCATATTTCATCCAGAAATGAGCGTCTGGTCCCTTTTGGAGTTGGTATGACTTCGGACCCTATGTCATTGCGTCGAGGAGGAAAAAAGCTTCCTATGGAAGATGTTTGCTATTATCAATGGCCTCTTCCTGGCATTGATAAGGTTTTCAAGTTATTAAATTTTTAGCTGATACCTTTTTGCTTCTACCAGAAGCGATGAATCTTATATTCGTGATGACATTGCAGTTTGGGGTGTTTAGTATCTGTGATGGACATGGTGGTGTTGAGGCTGCCAAATCTGCGAGCAAGTTAGTATTCCTATTCCTTCTTTTAGCGTGCTTCGTTGGCAGGGTTTGTGGTTGACTCCTAGACCTCTAATATTTTGTTTAGTTTATCAGATAAACCTTTTTTTCTGCATCTATTTTTTTAATTATGCATAATAAAGCATATCATAGTCTTCAAAGCTTGTCACAAAGTAACATGCATCTTTTCCCATCTATGTTTCTATGTTTTTTGTGTTTGTTTAAATTCAGATGGTATGAGTTTCATGATCTTCTGATCTGATAATTGCTATGACTTAGGCTTTACTTGTTAGGAAGGATGGAAAGATGTAAGGATGGAAAAATTTGTTAATCTAATGGTTTGATTTCATAACCACCTTTCTACTTTATAGGTTAACCATTGGATTAACAAAATTTTCATTTTTACCTCTTTCTATCCTTCCTACCAAGCAAAGCCTAATTGTTAGCTTGATTTATTCATTAAATATTGTCATATAATCTTGTACTTGATTGTTAATGCGTTGTTATGACATATTAGTTACTGGTTAGTATTAAAAGAAGATTTCAGACCAGGAAAACTGCACCCATCGAACCACAACACTTTTCACTCACTTGTATCCTGGTATGTTTCTGGATTAAAATTAGATACATCTCGAGAGATTCTTAAATATTTAGGTGTTTAGGTGCTAGTTTTTTCTTAAACGCCTTCTAACTATATGATAGATCATTCGTTTTTGAGAATTCTCTTATTTAGAATTATAACTTTGAGTACTCTTCATAAAAAGGTTTGTTTCTTCTTCCATACCTTTCCTTTCATGATAGCTACACTATCTGGTAGCTGACATTTCCAACCATTATGCCTGAATGTTTCTGTTTTATTCTTTATTCTTTTTTCTTTTATTGCACAATTGACCATCAGTGTTTATATGGTCATGAATGGTCAATATTGTGAGTGGCGCTAGAGTATTAACTGGATGGTGGAAATTTGGAAAATTATCAGTGTGAACTTTTCAGTTTATTTGCTGTGGAAAGTGGTTAGAAGAGGGAAAACGAAGTGGAATACATAATAAAAAAGCAAGGAAGAATTATTGAATACCATAGTGCTGAAAATGAATATTGGAGGCTTATAAATGTAAGGGAAATGAGAGAAGTTTCATATTTTTTTATTTATCTGTCCTTTACTTTCTCTAGCTTTCCCTCCACCTTTGTGTACGAATGCAAGTGAGAAATAGATGGAGGGTTATGGTGACACAAAATGATCCTGTCATCATATCAGTTAGACTCTGTTTTCTTTGTTCTCTTTGGTTGATTATGTGTGTGTGTGTGTGTGTGTGTGTATAGATAGATAAATAGATATATAAAATTGTTCTTATCTGTTTTCTTGTTCTTCTAAATTGGCAATTATCATATTGAAGGCCTGAATTGCTGTATTCTTGTAACATGAAGCTTTGAGTTCCGGATTTAAGGTTTCTCATCTGACAAAAACTAGCAGTTCTGCCTTTTAGCTGATATGCTGATTTTGACATAACTATTTTACTAAAGTTTCAAGAATTTGATGACCAGGATTCTGCCTGAGATGGTTGCTACCATTTTATCAGATTCTGTAAAAAGGGAGAGGGTTTTGTCACAACATGATGCCTCGGATGTTCTTAAAGATGCATTCTCTCGAACAGAAGTGTGCATGAATAACTATTATGAGGTTTTTCCATCACCTGTTTTTTCTTCTTTTCGTTATCTTCCTTATTTAGGCATTTTCATTGTTGTTTAGTTGGTAAATCTTGCATAGTGCACTGGAATGCATTTTCTTATCTTGATATCCATTGTGTGTTGTATTTCTCTTTTTCTTGTTATTAATTTGTAGATATGCTGCCACTCTTTCTTGTTGAATCATATTTCTTCTTATTGAGGCTATTGCGTTTATTCCTTTGACTCTGCATGTCCTTTTGGTCTTCATGATAATTTAATGGTTTATTTTCTAGTATTGGATCTCTTTCTTCTGCCTTAATTGAAGTTTATGGTTTGTATATCATAATAATTAATTCTTTGCAGGGCTGTACTGCAACCATTCTTCTGGTTTGGGCTGATGATGATGAAAATTTCTTTGCACAATGTGCAAACGTTGGCGATTCAGCTTGTCTTATGAAGTACGTGTTCCTATTCTTATTGTTTCAAGTAGTAGGATCTCTAGGGTATTGGGTTATTTTATGGTCAAAGTCTATCATCGAAGTCTTGAAAAGATTCCCTGCTTGGCAAAACGGAGTAATATTGGTTTGCTTGATGATAATTTTGATTGATATTGCTTTGATCATGCCCAATTCATAATCATATGTTAGAAATTGTCTGTTATACTTAGGTAATATTGTATTTGTAAGTTAAAAATATGGGATAAATTGGTGTCAGCAATTCATGAAGAAAGCTAATGGCGTCTGTCGGAAGCTACTTGTGCTAATTGGTGTCATTTAAGTCTTTGATTCATCTAACTATTACTTGAAATTGAAGTACTTATGGTAATTACCACTGTAGTGTCAATGCAACGTCTGTTGCCTGTTGTAGTGTCATATGGTCAAATTGCTGTCCTACCTTCTGCAGAATTTTCCCACCATTTTCCCCTTTTTCATATAATTTTTTATCTTGTTCTCGTCCATTTAAATTGAAATTTGTCATCATCATGATGCCATTAGTGCTGTACTTATGACCAAATACAATTTTGATTTGACAGTGTCAAAGGTAAGCAGATTAAGATGACAGAAGACCATAAAGTAACTAGTTATTCTGAAAGACTCCGGATCGAAGGAATAGGGGAGCCATTAAAAGATGGGGAGACGCGTCTATGTGGTATGTGCAAATTTCTGTATCTAATCATAACAGTCTGGAGTTAGGTCTCAGCCGCATCACAAAAGTAAGGTACATATTGAGTAATTGACCATTTACTTCAGGTTTGAACCTCGCTAGGATGCTTGGAGACAAGTTTGTGAAACAGCAAGATCCACGCTTTAGTTCTGAGCCTTATATAAGTCAAGTTGTGCATATCAATCAAACAAGTGAGGCATTTGCACTACTGGCTAGGTGATTACGTTGATCTTTTCTCATTGTTTATAATTTTGCTAACTAACATATTGTGACTATCTCAGTCGATTTTTGATTAAAACAATTTAGTTTATGTACATTTCTTTGTTTAACTCATATTATATTTTCTTGCTTGTATTCTTTAATTTTTTGGCCATTTTCATTGTGATTTTGTTGAAATGCGGATCTGAATTGTGCACTGATTGCAGCGATGGATTCTGGGATGTTGTTAGCGTTAGGAAGGCAATTCAGTTAGTTGCACAGGTATTATATTGCAACATAATGTTACAGTTTCATGCTAGTTCGTTCCTGAATATCGATCTTCTCTTTTACTTAATTTAATTTTGACAAAACTTTTTAACTTTTCGGCTGCTCAGACGAGGGAGAGACATTCGACAGATAAGGAGAATTTGGCAGAAAAGATAGCTGATGTTTTGTTGAATGAGGCTAGAACAATGAGAACGAAGGATAATACCTCTGTTATTTTCTTAGATTTTGACAGCAGATCTAGAATATCTTGTAAAGTTGATTCCTAATATGAATTTTAAAATTTTTCAATGTGAAATTATAATTAATTATTTCAATGTTATTTTCATTTCTTGAAGTTGCTTTTCCATCCAAGGTTTCATTTTGCAATCCACAGTTGCTTTATTTTCTTGTTAATAGACCAATCAAAAGAAATAAATAAACTAAAACTTTGAGCCTAATCCTTATGTCACGGGTCGAGACTTAAGCTCCGAATCCGCGCGGCTTTGGGACCCGAACATTCATCTTTCCGGCGTCTCAGATCAGCCTGACCATCACGGTTCACATTCTTGTGAGATATTGTCTGCTCTGGCCTCCTTGGCCTCACGATTTTATCCTACAAAAGCGTCTCACAAGGCGGAGATGGTGTGAACTTTTTTATACCCTAGAGATCCTCTTATTATGTTCGATGTGAGATTCAGGACTCCCCTTTAGGTCCGTGACATTCTCCCGCACTCAACCTCGTGACGCCCTCGTCACGGAGGCTGGCCACCTTGCCTACCTCCCTCGAGGTGCTAGGCGTGGATCGAACGGTTTAGGGCTGGTTCTGATACCACTTGTCACGGGTCGAGACTTAAGCTCCGAATTCGCGCGGCTCCAGGACCTGGGCATTCACCCTTCCGACGTCCCAGATCAGCATGACCGTCACGGTTCACACCCTTGTGAGGTATTGTCCGCTCTGGCCCCCCTGACCTCACGGTTTTATCCTATAAAAGGCGTCTCACAAGGCGGAGATGGTGTGAACCCTTTTATACCCCAGGGACCCTCCTATTATGTTCGATGTGGGATTCAGGACTTCCCCTTAGGTCCGTGACACTTACACCTTGATCGAGTCTCTTCAAGAATTATTTAATTTCATCTTCGGTAAAATGAGATTTAATTGACTATACATGCCAAGCCATTCGGAGTGATGATCTGCCTACTGCTTAAACATGGTATTTAAAAATAGTGAAGATTTTATTCTTCAAAAAAATATAATATATAGTGAAGATTTTACTATTTATCCAAAGATAATTAATTCACTTTGAAATTGATTTTTATTAAAATTTTAATGATAAAATAAAAAGTAAATTAATTAAAAAAGAAAAATACTTTAAACAAATATTAATCTTACATTTAGTTAAAATAAATTACTCACTTACAGATAAAGTAATGAAAAGTTACGGATAAAGTAATGAAATAGGTTTCACTTAAAAATTTTAAATACTTCTCAAGACACTACAAGAAAATTAAAGATAAGTGACAGTTTTGTAGTGGTGTTTCACTTACAAATGCCGTTACCTTCTGTATTTTTATAAAACTTAAGGCGTTTATTACCAAAACACCGTTAAATATTCAAATAGCGGTGTTATTACTTATAAACGCTATCCAAGACTTGATATTAACGACGTTTATCGACTAAAACGTCTTAAATAATCCTATCTTAAAAATTTGAGTGAATACTAAAGATATTTTTAGTGATGGCTTTAATAATCCTGTTAAAAAAATTAATAGGAAATTATTCAAAGCGTTTTGGGCAAACAATGCCTTCATTAATTCCCTCATAAAAAAATGTATACGATTATTGAAGGTATTTTCTACAAGAAATGCCTTTAATAATTTCACAAGCTTATTGAAGGTGTTTTTAGTCTAAAACACTTTCAATAAATATCTTATCAAAATTTTAGGATCGTACATATCTTAACCATAAGGTGGTAGGTTTGATCCCTCCCTTTAGCATTTTTTGAGTTTTTATAGAGATTATTTGTAATTGATAATTCTAAACATTTTTTGGGTAAAAACACATTCACCAATAGATTTAAAAAATTTTGGAGAGAATAATGAAGGTGTTTTTGGTAGAGAAACGCCTTTAATAATCGATAAAAAAAATATAAAACTGATTTTTGAATGTGTTTTTGGTCGAACTCGCTTTCAATAATCTAATCAATAAAATTTTTAGTTTGAATTATTAAAGGCAGTTTTTGTCAAAAACGCCTTCAATAATCTATACACAAAAGTTGAAACGGATTCTTGAAAGCGTTTTTAGCTCAAAACACCTTTAATATTCCACACGATAAATTTGAATGGTCGGATTATTGAAAGCGATTTTTGTCAAAAAAGCCTTCAATAATATTTTGTTAGGGATTATTCAAGGCATTTTCGAAAGAAAAACGCTCTTAATAATCTATAAGAAAAATATGGAATCAATTCTTGAAGGTGTTTTTGGCTGAAAATGCCTTCAACAATCCATTCAATTAATTTTTAGTTGGTATTATTGAAGTCAGTTTTTTTTAGAAACATTTTGAATAATCCATACAAAAAGTTAGAACGGATTCTTGAAGGCATTTTTGGCCCAAAATGCCTTTACTATTCCACACAATAAATTTTTAGGTGAGATTATTGAAGGTGATTTTGGTAAAAAATGCCTTCAATAATATTTTGTTAAGGATTATTCAAGGCATTTTCTTACTAAATATGCCCTTAATAATCCATAGAAAAAAATATGAAATGGATTCTTGAAGGCGTTTTTAGGTGAAAGTACCTTCAATAATCCAATCAATAAATTTTTAATAGAGATTATTGAAGACGGTTTTTGTCAAAAATGCATTTAGTAATCCATACAAAATATTTGGAAAGAATTCTTGAAGGCGTTTTTGTCCCAAAATGCCTTTAATATTCCACACAATATGTTTTTAAATTGGATTATTGAAGGCAGGTTTGGTTAAAAACGCCTTCAATAACATTTTGTTATAAATGATTCAAAGCTTTTTCTTACTAAAAATGCCTTTATTAATCCCATAAAAAAACATTTTTGATATTGTATATGTCAAGTTAGTTGTAGGTTTATGCCTTGAAAATATTTGAAGTCAATTGTACATTTATGCCTAGAAAACATTTGGTTTATATATATGATACTACAAATTACATTTTGAAATTTACATAATGAACATTGTTGTATTTCAACAAATTGACCACACATCCGAATTTAAAACTGATAACGTTGCCATATTAATATACTTTTGTGAAATAATCGTACTCAATAATATATTAAGTACACATAGTGTATTCTTATAAAACAAATATATACTAATAATATTAAACCAATATCCCAATCTACAAATTTAAATTTTTCATTCAACATGGTATGTTAAAAACATTATAACAATTTGTTCCTCATATATTTACATTTAACCAACAATGTCTAACCTCAAAGTTTATCAATATTGATAAATGAGAATACATATTCACACCATTTTTTATGAACTTCATCCAGTTCCTCTACCATGAAGCTTTCTTTACTTTCCCACTAAAAAAAAAAAATCAGAAATAAAATGTTAATAAATGAGAACATAATTTAGCTTCTTATTTTTTTAAAAATATAACGAGTTTATGAAATTAATACTAATATTGAATGGTGTGATCATAAAATTATATAAAACTATCTTCCGCATAAAATGAAGGACATAATATCTATATTCAGTATTACCAGGTTGATAAGGTACTTGAAAATTAAATTGAGTGGGTTTAGGAAACATTTATCTACACAAACTCAGCATAAAAGAATAAATTTCACATTTAACAATAATGATACCCATTTTAGTTTCTTTGCCTTCTTATCGAATGCAGATTTTACCCTAAATTGAAAAGAAAAAAAATTAGTTAATACATAAATAAAATTACTTATGAAGAAATAGAAGATATATAATATAATAAAGTGTAATATCTCTTTATGAAAGTTTGAATTTCGGGGTTAGGCATTGCCGTTGGATTAACTGAATTAAGTAAACATGGCATTAAGGATTTGGTGTCAATCACAATAAGCAACCATGATGATTGCAAAATAATAATAATGATATACTTAAATTACGCATCATATTAGAGTTTGCTAAGGTTGGAACAATTATTTGTATGAATATAACTTACTACGCATTATACTGGAGCAAATAATAATCAGCTGGTCTTTTCATACATTCAATCACATGATTAACACGATAAGCAACTGTGCCACTCTGTTAACTAATGAAATTGGGGTCAATGAATCTAAATCTGTTGGTCAACTGTCTCCCCTTGAGCTCTCTATATAAGAAGCTGCACGATAATAATCAACAATATTAGTTAGTATTACACCATAATATAGATTAATATATATTAAGTGTGCATATTTGTATATATAAGTTAACCTCATTGAAGCAACAATATCAACAGCTGATAATTTATCCAGTTCACAAAATTCTTTAACTTCCTCCACACCAACGTAAGAAAATAATGGTTTATCAAATATCCCTTCTTCAAACTCAATGGTTAAAAAATTTCATCTAGATAAATGCTCTAGCAAATAATTAGATAACTTATCCATGGTAGCTTGAACAAGGATCATACTCTGAGTCTCAACATCCTGCTACAATATTTAATGAAATATAAGTATTAAAACCAAATTAATAAATATAATAAACAAATTAATATTAAACTTATAAATAAAATCATACTTCATGGCTGGTAGCGGAGGTTAGCTTCACTGCTTGACTTGCAACAGAAGCTTGTCCTACGTGGACGATGCTATCTGACTGGCCTATTAGTATGTTATGCTACATTGCTGCCAACTGGGCTTCAAAGCAACGAGTCTTTGCTGTTGTTCATTGAGGTGTTACTCCTGGTCATCAAGTTGTTGCTGTTGTTGCTCAACGATTGCTTCATATTATGCATTTGTCATTCGTAGGGTTTTGGTTTGATTACTAAAAAACTTTGATGGCGAGACAAATTTACCAATCCCACGAACCCGACTAGGCCTTTCTTTAGTGACTAATGCTAAAGACAATGGATCTTTGCTATACTAGGTTCCCAGTTCACCAAATTTGACTTTGGCAGCATAATCATCCTGAAAGACAATAATAAGATAGGCTGTAACAACAAATCTATACAAGCTAGTATATAGTCATGCATACAACCACAATGCCAATAATGCATGATATTAAAAAAGTAGTTATACGTACAATCTTTTTTGTCATTTCTTTGGTTGCTTCATCTACAGAGGATCCATTTTTTTGTAGATTTCCTTGTTTCCAGACATCTCATCTGGAAACTTCGATGCTAGAACTCACTGATTCCTATTAAATTACTGTAATATAAGAATCAGAATGTATGAAATGAATGTTCATAAATATTCATTAATGAGTATAAAACAAGTGTGCGAATACATACAAGCTCATACTTCACTTCTTTGATTTTCTACAAAAAAAAGAAATTACGTTAATCACATATGAAG